TGCCTTCTGTAGGAGGGGTTGTACAAATGGGTACTACGTGCTCAAGAGCATCATGCCTTCTGTAGGAGGGGTTGTACAAATGGGTACTACGTGCTTTCCTCGTTTGGGGAGACTTAAAGTGTCGCCTTTAAAGTTGATCCTGGTGGTTTTGTTATATTTTGTGTGGCTCGCTTGTTTCCCCCCCACCCTTGAAAAAGAGCTGGTTGAAACCGTTCAAAATAGTTTATTTTATGTAGACTCCCCGTTTTTTACTTCACAAGTCGCAATTACATGAACTCCCCCCAAGCCCCACCCCACCCGCAAAGTACACATTGCAAAATTAGAACTCTAAACTGTGTCTCAGTTCCCAGCATTTCTCTGCCCTCAGCCATCTAGCTATAGTTCCTCCTGGATTTTGGATGGGGGTCATCTTTATTTGATTAGTATGTGTGGCATTTTTTCATGCACATAACACGCACACTCTATGGTAGTGTTGCCCCTCCGGCAGTGCGCTGTGGGGTTGTATGTTGGACAGATACGTATATTCGTGCAAGAGAGTTCCTGAGTACCACAGTACTCGGGTGTATTTGGAAAGACTGAAAGTTGTGTCAATCACTGTAGAGCAGAGAGGGAGAGGTTTTCATCAGAGGGCTCTGAATTCAAGTATCTTTTAGTCGTGACCATCGATTTTGTTATCCAGGTTCTGGGCCAAGTCCCGGGCATGTCCTTGAGAGGACATAAGGACCCCTGTGCTTCCTTCTGTTTTTCCTGTGCCTGCTTTGGGCCCCGATCCCTGCCTTGCTCCTTTTCTAAGTCCAAAGCAACGTAAGTGTGCCTTTCTCGACAAACCGACAAGTCTGAGAGCTCTGCTCAGCACATGTTCATGTAATTCTAGCGGCACATCGGGTTTGGGGAAACCCCTCTAGAGATGTTCACCGGTTCCGGAAGTCCGCTCTCCAAGGAGAAGTGGGAAACAAATGGATTGGGAAGGCAGGTCTGCAGTAGCCCAAGAATGTGTGACAAGGGGATAGAATAGCAAGCTGTGTTTCCAGGAAATGATCGGAGCCCAGGCTTCTAGCTCAGAGGGCAGGCCATAGCTACAGCTGCTGGGAGAGCTGCACTTGGACCAGACTGGACACCTTGCTGAGTTTGAGCTCTAGAGGCCCAGGGATCTAAGAGACC